TGGCAAAAAAGAAAAAAAAAACCAAAAAAAAACCCTGTTCCACAGTCCTTTCTTCCCTGGGACGGGTCAGAGGACTCGGTGTGTTTCTGCTGCCAGCCCGGTTCCCTTCCGGAATCCCGGAGGAGGTGAAGCCGCGCGGCTTTTTCTCCCGGCTGGAGGGGGATCGCAGGAGAGGCAGACGGGGGTCTGAGGAGAGCTGCTGAAGCTAACAGTAACTGAAACTGTAACAATGTAACTGCGCAGCACTCCGGCAAGCAGAAGGACTCCCACGGAGAGAAAGCTGAGCCAGAGCTGAGCTGGAAAAAGGCCCCGACTGTGTGGCAGCGCTGGCTTTTAAACCGCCAGCACTGCCTTTCCCAGCAGCCCACGCGGCTTCTTCCGGGTTACATTTAAAGATACAGAACATCTTTTGGGCGTATATGCCAACAGAAAAGGAATACAGAACAAAATTGGCACAAAAATCAACCCAAGACAGCATCCTACAGGAAAAATAGTATGAAATCATATAATGAAAAATAATATTGCAAGGCAGCAAAAGCAAAGTAATGAGAAATTTTATTTGCCAGTTTATTCATCTCAGATGAATGGGTGTGAAACATTTGTGTTCTGTTGAAGTTGTAGATGTCTTTATGTAGATGCATTTATACACATGATATTCTTAATAATTTTAATCATRAAAGAAACGAAACCAGAACTTTCATCATGTGACATCTGTTTAAGGTTAGGAGTCTCATTTGCACCTTCCAGATTTCAGTAGCAGTAGCAAAGGGAGGGCTGGGTGGGAGAGGTGTTTCTTTTGACTGTGAGAACAAGTGCTGTGGAGATGGGACAGTGGGATTGCCAGGTCTTTGCTGGCAGCAGAGGATGGACGGATTCCCAGCTCAGTGAAATCATTGCTGCCAGGCTGCCCATCCCACCCAGTGCCAGCCTCTACCCATGCAGTCTCCTGCTCCTTGGGATACCATGTCCCTGCCCCAGGCTCCCTCCCACTAAGGCTTTTTGCTCCCCCAGACTCAGCTCAGCAGAGTTTGTCGCTCAGCAGCCATACCCACACTTTCCACCAGGTCTTTCAGGTTTTCATCACAGTCCCATTTCTTCCTCTGCTCCCAGTTTTTCTCCCATCAGTCTCCCTCTTCCTCCACCTCTTCCCTTACTTTATACCACCCTCAAACTCCCCAGGGTTTCCCTRCCCAGGAAAAAGCCATCCCCTATCCTTGCTGATACTACTTGCAACCTCTCCTCATGTATAATCTCTTGGGTAACAGGGGCCCTTCCCAGGCCACTGCTCATCCTGGACAGTTGCCTCCAGGGATGAAATGCCCAATCCAAGAATGCTACAGCAATCAGCAGTGGGGAAGTCCAACATCAAGTCTGTCCCCTAAGAGAAAAACACAAGAGGGGCCCAGTGCTAAGAAAGGTAGAGAAATGCAACCTCTGAAATCCCACAGAGTAAGGACATGCATGAATTAGCAGAGATTTTACTTTCAGTGCTCATACAAGCCTAAACATGTGCCATTTTGAGGTGGTTTGAATGCCTTTAATCTGGCTGAGWGTGAGTGATTTTCTGAAGGAACACCATCCCTGATAGACTGATGGGACCACAGAACAAGTCTTTGCTCCCAGCTATGGGACCTGAGAGCAGTTTGCTCATATGGGTCCTRCTGGTGCTGCAAACCCTCTCGTGTTATTCTTGGAAGTGATGAGGCCTTTAAGAGCTGTATGTTGGACCCTCAGCCTGATASAGACAACTGCTGCAGAGAATTTGGGTCAAAATTATTAACATTTGGCAGAACTGTAACTATATGAGAACACAATTTACRACAGAAAATATCAAATATTGTTAATAGTAGTCAGAAGTGATTGCCATACTTGTCATCAAAATTGGTGCCCAGCTAATCAGCATTTTTTGGTAATTTAGAGGTGTAATGTGACACAGACAAAATTGAGAAGACTGAGATCCATCTAAAGTGCCAAGCAACAGTTTAGTACAAGAAAACATACAATTTTATAGCATTTTCTTGAASAGGGGACAAAAGGGGAAATAAAAAGGGGAGATATAAATAGAAGTATCCTGGACTGCCTTTTTGGGAATGAGAGACGATGTCTTGGGAGAAGAGACCTTTTCTGCCAAAAAAGCGTGGCTAATAGCTGTCCTTGCAGTTCATTGCAGAGGATAAGCGAGGCTGAGGTGCCATCTGGAGGTGTGGAGGGGTGGCACAGCTCCTGTGCCAGCACCGTGCCCGGCTGCTGCCCCTGCAGCCCCCACCGGGCTGTCTCTGCCAGGCCCTGCTTCCAACCTCCCGTGGGAAAATGCATCGCATCTTTTTCCATCTTTCACACAGTTCTTAACCGTTTTGAAAGATCTTTCGTAGCTAGTATTTTGTTATTCTGTCAAAAATCTCTTCAGTGCTATGTTGTGAGGTACTGTAATTAATTGAATTTAAACCATAGCATTTAGAGTTTCCTGAATGGGAAAAAAACAACTCATTTTATAATGCAGTGAGTGAGATTTATTTTTCTAAATCTCTAAGAAGATGCTGGACCTTTTTGTGACAATGGACACATTCCTGTGGGGTGTGGTCACCTTCCTCCTCATGTGAACCAAATAGGGACTAGCAGCTCATCACTCTGAGGACCTGGTTTTGCTTTAACRGGATGGCTCTGCTTTTGGTATGACATGAGGTGCTGGCAGTCCTAGCTGGGTATATAGAGTGACCCTGTCCAAGACACCACCTTTTCCTGAGTTTCTGTTTCCTGACTTCCCAAAACAGTTTGTGAGTACCTCCACAGCCATCTGAGTACCTCCATACTCAGCTGATGTTGAAGTCCAACCCCTTCTTTTCCTCAAGGCCTCTTGAGCTCCTGATGCAGAGTGCCGATGTGCTGTGATTGTGCATAAGAGTAGTGAGATCTGAAACTTGGCATCATCTTAGCTGAAATTGTTCCACTCTGATAATTTAATTAATCAACACTGCAGCAGAGTGTTTGAAATAATGTGTGCATTCATTTGCATAATGAGTGTAATTGGCGAAGCTTCATAATGTAAGTGTAGCAGTTCCACAGATGATAGCTTGATAGACCATTTTCCTGGAGCCAGCCAGCAGCACACGTTTCAACCCCTGTTATTTGCTTTTCCACAGAGAAAGGAAGTGACAACTAGATTTATTAACCAAGATACAGAGAGGACTGGCAAATTTTTGRTGGCACCTGAACACATATATTTTCCACATGACTGTGTTGCTGTGTCAAGATGAAAAAGCCACAGTTAGGTATTAGAACAGAACCCCTGCTCCAAAAGTTTAATGCTTTTCCAAGTAATGGGTTGTTGGCTGTGGAGATGTCCACACACAGAGTCAAAGCTGATATTTCCAGTGTCATGTCAAAGTGGAGTACCTAGTTTCAGAACTGCAGTCACTACTTACCCGAGCAAAGTTTGCAAAGAAAATGAGTGGCTGCCACTGGAGAGCCCCTTGCTTTGGTACTGTCTCATTGAGGATAGCCTCAGGGAGTGTTCCACAGCCTCCAGGGGATGTAAAAATCCCAAAGGACAGGATATTATCTTAAATAAATACCTTGTTATAGACAGGACTGAGGTATCAATGGCCATGCAGCAGTTGTGGAAGCATAACTCTCAGGAGATGGGCTTTAGGTAATTAATTGGCAACTTTTAACTATCTTACTATATTCACTACTTTGCAATTAGCAAGACAAGGTATTGACTGTTAACCAAATGCCAGATGATTGCAAAAGTGCTGAAGGAAAAAAAACAACCATGCAGTAGAAATATATTCCCTGCCTTGCACACAAGTGCGTTGATATAAAATGGCCCAGTCTGTGCTCTCAGAAGGCCGCCTGCTGATAGGCTCTGAGTGCAGAATAGCTGTATCAGGCTCAGACACATCATTACTTCATTGAAATGAAGTGACACTTGAAAACTAAGTTCCCAGAGAGCCCTGTGAATGGTTCAGGACTGGGGCTCCCCGTTGGTTTAGAGAGTGCTTTGAAAGTCACTTGATAACCTCTCCATTTTAGATTCCCTTCCAGGTTTGAGGGATCCAAAGTATATTCTCAAGAAACATAAGAAGAAAATGTGAACAGCTTTAGCTAACGTCTGCTGCTGTCACAGGCAGTGGGAGCATTGCAAACCCCATTTATAATCATCAGTGGACAAGGGAAGAGAGGATGTCATGTATCTGGACTTCTGCAAGGTCTTTGACATGGTCCCTCACAACATCTCTCTCTCTCTGAATTGGAGAAGGATAGATTTTATGGGTGGACTGTTTTGTGGATAAGGAATTMATTGGATGGTYGCATCCAGAGGGTAGTGGTCAATGRCTCAATGTCCCAATGGACGCTGGTGACAAGTGGTGTCCCTCAGGGGTCCACACTGGGATCAGTGCTGTTGAATATCCTCATCAGTGACATAGATGGTGGGATTGAGGGCACCCTCAGGAAGTTTGCAGATGACACCAAGCTGATTTATGCAGTTGACACACGGGATCTGACCAACGTGCTTGAGTTGAAAATGTCCCTGCCTGCCCCTGGCAGAGGGGTTGAACTAGATGACCTTAAAGTCCCTTCCAGCCCAAAATGTGCTGTCATTCTCTGATTCTATGACTTTTGGATGGAGGAGATGCAGAGCTGAATGAGATGTTACAGCAGAGATGCAGCACTAGGACAAAGCAATGAAGTTCTGGCACAGGCTCAGCACACAGCTGGGAGCAGGGACACCATGAGTGGTCCCTCCATTTGGCAACACGTTTGTGCTTTTGTGGACTGCCTCCAGAGTACATCTKGGTAAATTTTCCAGCTCAGCTGGTCAGAAATTTCTGTCTTACTGAGTTTTAGTAGAGAATGTAACTGCATTGCATGTAACTAGTAGGCGAAAATGTTACTTACTGATATTTCCAAAAGTTTTTTTCCCCAAATGTCTGGTACTGGTGCCCAGCTGCTCCCGTCAGGTGCAGACTAACCAAGTCTTTGCACTTCTTTCTCCAAAGGTACCGCGTTGTGGTCCCATACCCACCGCAGAGCGAGGCCGAGATCGAACTGAAGGAAGGTGACATTGTGTTTGTGCACAAGAAACGGGAGGACGGCTGGTACAAAGGGACGTTGCAGAGGAACGGCAGGACGGGCCTCTTCCCCGGGAGCTTTGTCGAGAGCTTCTGAGGACAAGATGCTGCTCTCTCAGTTGAGGAGCTTTCAGGGGAAACTGCATAGCACAAGAAGAGACAGCAAAGAGAAACTGGACTGATAACCACTGCCATTTTTATTTCCAAAGACTTCCCCCAGGCCCTTCAGTCTGCAGCTCTGGAGACACAATGGCCTCCTGTGCTCCCGAGACCGTGTGCGGTGCATACAGTGGTATGTTGAAGTAGTGCCTTCCACCAGGAATCACAGACTGAAAGGATGCCCATCTGGACTGTAGTAACCTAAACTCTGGCTGTTAACCCTTTGTGTAAATTATAGAGAAGATATCTTTAAAAAAAAATTAAGAGGAAAGCTGTTATATTGCTGTAACTTATTTGTCAGAGCTGCAGTGTTCTTATTACTGGCCTATGCAAGATGGATTTGAGAGTTCAAGGAGGTGTGCTAGGAAGCTCTTAAACTGGGATTTTGTTTTTACCAAGGGAAGAAGAGGGGAGGGTGGATCAGATCACAGATCAGTGCATCGTTGTGCAAGTTAGAATGAGGAGTCCAAAATGTCAATGTCATGCTTTCTATATACCTCAAAGATACGCGACGCAGGTTTGTCAGTGAGTGTGTTAGTGCTCAGAGTCCCACACCAGCCCATGTCCTGGCGCTGCTGCCAGGGAGGTCCTGGAGGAAGTACAGCTCCACCATTAAACTGTGGTTATTTGAGCAGAATCCCTTTTGCCTGTCTTCTGCCCGTAATATATGCAGCATGGATTTTTGTCCTTCGGTATCACTTTCCATTGCTTTTTTGTACGACGTACCTTTTTACTGTAAGAATTTCTCTACTTTATATATATTCCTACTAGATCAGACATTTCCTCTTTTTCATACATCTGGTGCTATTTTTTTTAATTGTTAAAGATTTGGTTAAACAGAGAGGCTGCAACAAGATTTGCATTCAACATACGAAATTAGAAACGTACGTGAAGATTGAGATCAGACTGCTTGTTCTTGCTTCATAGAGGAAAAGAGAAAAAGCTGCATGGTCACCGATAAATATACCTGGGAGAGCTGCCTGTGCAACACACACACACTTGCTCTCTCCTACATATTTAGAGTGGCTGAAGACCCATRCTGAAGCACAGCGTTCTGTCTGGAGAGTGATAATGACTCCAGAATTGGAAGTAATTCCCAGAGGAGTCATTTTAATTGACTTTTTCATGGCAATAAGAAGAACACTGCAGGTTCTAACACACGCAGGGACCGTGGAGTTTTCCTCTGTCGTTGCATGACGGAGACGAGAGCTGATCTGCGACAGCAGTAATTGGTGTTATGRAAATGTGATTTCTTACTGTAGAAATGTACAGTTCTGGAGACTGTTGGATTTCTTAACGTCGTCAAGCTACAATACMAACTGTATCAGGCAATATAAGCTTCCATCTACCAGGGACTTAAAGGTGCAATAAATGTAAGGTGAGTTTAGCCAGTTATTTGTATGAAAAAGAATGAGAAAAAAAGAAGTCATAATGCGATTGTTGAGAGTATTTAAAAAGACATCAGCTCTTGAGGAATGAATCATGTTGAAAGGCTTTTCATAGCTGTATCCATACCTTGCCTCTGACAGCAGCTGGCTGTTTGCCAAGGCCCACATGTGGTGGGTGTTCAAAAGCGTGTCAGAGGCACTGTAACCTGGAGATGATCTTTTYAAAATGAAGAGGCCCGGTGGGTGAACATCATCACTGCATCACCAGTATTTCATATGCGAAGGTGTAAGTTTTGTTTTCATTCAAGCCGTGTGTACTAGTACATATCAAAACCCATGTAAGTGAGCATTCCTATTTAAGTTCAGCTCTGTGACGTTGTTCTCTGTAAAATAAGTTCTTCTTGCTGTCACATGTTAACAAACCGATTCCAGAAACACAGTTCATGGCCAAGTATAGCACCTTCAAACCAGGAGGCATCACTTTCAGGGTGTTTCTTTTTATACTTGATGTTGCCGCATTTGTTGATATTCCAGATTGTAGTGAGTCAGCCACTAAAAATTTAGTTACTGTTGAGAGGAAATTGCCTTTTTATAAACCAATAAGAGACTGAAGAAATGTCTTCTGGAAGACTTGCTTGAGATTAGAGCCATATCTGTTCCAGTTATTTGGTCCAGGTCAGAACTGGTGTCATTGCACCTCAAACAGTAAACTGCACAGTTAGGCAGTCAGCAATGCCAAAATGTGTGTTATTGATTCCAATAAAAATTCTGGGTTAGATCTGTCAGAGATGAGATTTTTTCTGACAACTTACAGTGGTTACAATGCTCTTAAAATTCTGTTCCATGGTGTATTTACTACAGTCAGAAAAGCGAAACAGGATGACAGCTTGCATGCTGCCTATTCTGTTTAGCCAGATCTAAAATTATTYCAGATTTCCACCTTTTTTATGCTTAACTCTTAAGAGGGCAAAAGTTGGTGTGTGAGAGGATCAAGGAAAACATGCAGATACTATATCATTAAATCAGTGCTTCAAAATATATTTTGCAGGGAGGATGATGGTTTTTTAAATGGTCATTAACCCTTCTAATCATACCTCCTGCTAGGAAAAACATAGTGGGGTGGGGAGGAAGGTGTTCTGTTTTGATAGCAGCTCTTTCTGGGCCCTCTTTATTGCATTTCATCACGGTTTGGGTTACTGAGTAATCTTCTTGAACCACTTCCATGCCAGGAGCACAAGTATTAAGGTGAACTTAATACAGCCCAGTGATATGGAAACATGACCCAGTGCCATTCAGAAAGTCCTGGACTGAGAGAGGTTTGACTCATACTGTGGTCTAGTTTTTACTTGTCATGCCAGGAAAAGCAGAAGGAGGGGGCATCTCCACCTCCTGCAACAGGGCGGGGAAAAGATTCCTTCTGGTGGCCTCAGTTTGTAAAATGCCAGGTTTGTTCTTCTAGAAATGGGTTCAAATAATTGAACAATTCCTTTGAACTTTGCACAGCTCAGAAAATGTTTTTGTTATACATGAATGTTAACGTGGTTTAGGAAATGTTGGCAGATATGAGTACAAATGAACTACAATGACTGTGTTTCTGATTCTTTAAATAAAATAAGTATTAAGGCAACTTGACTGAGGTTTCTCTCTGTATTAGACAGTAAGGTGAACACGCAGTGTAAGTGGCTCTGAGGTTCGCCCAGAGAACAGGGAAGACTCCTCTGCAAATCCTGTACTAATTCCCACATAAATACAGACCTATTAAGGGTAGGAGACGCCTTAACATGAGTTGGAATCTATGGTTCTTCTTGTGGCACATCTGGGATTTTTTCAAAATCTTGAGAAATTAAAAACTTACCTGTGGGGCAGAGGTGTGTGGGTCCAGACAGAGAGAGAGGAGACAGGCCAGGAAGAGAGAGCAAGGTGGCAAGGGTAAGGCTGAGGCACAGAGGCTAGGAGGGGATGTGGAAGCAGAAAATTTGCAAAGAAAAGAGCAGCCTCTCATATTGTTATATGGGCTTCAGGGGTGCTCTGAGAYGTTGAGCAGGTTTGTAGGCAGAGGAAGACCCCTTTCATCCTGCCCTGGGCTGGTTTGGCCATGGTGCCAGCAGGGTCCATGTGTCCTCCAGGCAAGGTACAGCCAAGGAACCGGGAGACAGGGAAGGAGCAGGCTGTACCCTGGGCAACCAAATGCCTCTTAACTCAGGTAAGGGGTGTAAGCCTGCTTTTGCACAAGGCCTGAGATTCCCATTTGGCAACACAGTGCAGAGCATCTGGAGGGGAACAAAAGAGTGCATGAGGGTCTGGATGTGTTTGCTCTGGCTGGGAGTGATTCCTTGCACAGTTAGTRAGCACTCAGGGCAGGAAGAGCGAGGCACAGCTAACTCGGGGTGTCTGCCTAGGAGGTGACAGGAGCCTCTCTTTGCCCCAGCTGGATCCCAAGTCAAAATTCTGAAACGTGGAAACCACTAGAATTTAAATGCGGGCAGGCAACACCTCTCCCTGTGCTAGGCCTTGYTGGCTGCCCTGCCTGACAAGCAGTGTGGTGCAAAATGTTGCACACAGGAGCCTGCCAGCTATTTCCAAGGGGTCTGGAGTGCCAGTCCCCTCCACACTGGGTCCTGTTCCTCTGGCATTTCTCCATCCCCTGCTGCCAGCATGTACCACACACCTCACCCAGCCTTCATACTGCGTGTCGCCCTGGGCTTCTGCTCCAGTGCCTGATAGAAATTCAGGCAATGGTTTGAAAGAAAAATAATCATTGTAAAAATGTTACATGGTTTGACTGTTCCTAAATGCTCATGGAGAGCAGAACCACCTGGACAACATCTGCAGGGCTTTCCTGCAGCCAAAAGCTCTTCCTGACATCAGCAGCTCCTTATACATGGCAAACCTGGCAGCTACACGGCTTGGTGAGTTGGTGCCAAAGCAAATAAATGAGCTGTRCTGGAAGAGAAGCCAAGAGGTGATACAGTCTGGAGAAGGCCCTGTCTTCACGCCGCAGCCTTTCATGTAGCAAAAATAACTTTCCAAGTGGTCACAGATGTATTTCCAATCACTGGGGCATGAGTGTCTCCCCACCCTTCAGAAAAGCACTTGATTTTTCTCAGCCACCAAGCAGCATCACCTGYCCCACGGTGTCACAAAGGGGCCACAAAAGGACACCAAAGAGTTTGTACCAGGGTGGTCCCCTTGCAGCATGTGCCAGACAGCCTGTGTGAGTCCCCCACAGCTTACAGTACAGCCCAGTTGCAGATGAGCCCACCTCTACTTGGTCTCTTGTTTGCTCCCTGAGACCCCAGCAGCCCCAGGGAAAGACAGCCAGCATCCTGCTGACTTGGCCAGGGAGTCACTGAAAGCTGCTTCCAACACAAATGGCTCTGGGTTGGTCTATGCCACCCATCAGTAAAAGATGGATGAGCGATGGGGGAGCTGCCCTCGGTGGAGAGGTTGTTGTCATGCCAGGAGTCCTCACGAGCAGCACAGGAGTGATGGGGAGCACAGCTAAGTAACGGGGCAGAGGAAAAATGAAGCCATTAAGACAGGAGGGAAGGGAGAAGAGACTTCAGCTTACTGAGAGAGACGGAAAGCATATTCCATTTGTGTTCTGCACCCGCTCAAGGGCTTGGCAGAGCTGCTGTCAGTCATGTCGCTGYGTGCAGCCCCCCGGCCAGCCCCAGCTCTGCAGCTGTGGGGTGGAGGGCATGGCAGGGGTGGAGGGCAATCCCATTGCTAGGAGGGTTGTCCTCTGCCATCCCACCCGGCCAAGGGCCAAGCAGGCTCACAATGAGTGCTTAAGGGCCAGCATCACCAAGGGTGGCACAGGCACAGCCCAGGGGACTCGGGACACAGGGCAGTGCCTGACAGCGCATCTCCAGCTGCTGAGTGGGCACACGCCCAAGAAAACCCACGGGGACCCTGGCCCTGCCACTGCATCAGGCTGGAGTCAAAGTCTGACACATCCTTAGCACAGGGGTGGTGACCCTGCCCCACATCACCGCTGCCACCACGAGGCACTTGGGACCAGCTCTCGTAGGTGATGCTGCACAGCCGAGGGTCTGGGAGCTGTTCCCACTCCTTCCTCCCCAGCAACAGCAGAAAGGCATTCCCTTTCTCTCCCTCATGGGTATGTTGAATTCACCCTAAAGCTGCCCATTGGAAAATCAGCCTTGAAGGCAGGAGGGCAATTTGTTAAGGTTTTTCCCTCTCCCCTCCCCAGATAATTGTCTGGGATCTGCATTAATGGAAACATAAATTGACTGCCACTCTGCTAAATGACAATCAGGTTTTGTTTGACAGAGCTAGGAAGTATCTTATCCTGAACATTGGCACCAAACAATCTAAATGCAAATTGCAAAATGTTTGGGGTAAGGAGGCTGTTTATCTTCAGATGAGGTTATGTAACAATGCAGAGGGGGGAGAGAACTGCCTTTCAGTTCCTAAAGGCTATCAAAATGTGTGATAGTTAAACCRTGGGACCAGTGTTTACACATTATTTTAATGGAGCAGATTCAGTTATTTGGCATGGATTTTCTTTTAACAAATCACTTTTTAAAGCAAGATGGAGCACGGCTGCATTTCAACCATATTTCAGTAATTCTCAGGCGTCCAGGTTAGCGTGTAAAATGACAGGGCAGCCATCATTTTAATCCTGTTATGTCTATTGCTCCCAGCTTGTTCTCCTCTGATGAAACACACTGCTGTGCCTCGAAGAGGCAAAATAAAACATTTGCTGCACTCCTGGCCTATTTCTCATGTTAGATTACCAGGTTTATACAYGTCAGCACTGCCCAGGTATCACCAACGTTGTTATGCAGGAACAGTGACAGCTGAAAAAGTGAAATGCAACCACAACCAGCTGCCTCCCGAGACATCACCATGTGCTGGGGTTTCCTCTCATGCTGGATACCCCACGCTGGACGAACATCAGCTTTTTTGCCAGTTGGTTGTAAAAAAAAAAGTTATTGCAAAAGTCAAAACTTTCAGACTTGCTCAGCATAGCGCTCCTGCACAACACTCCGTGCTATTGAGGCACCGCGCCACGTGGGCAGCACCCCAGCTGKCATCCACAGCAGTGCCCATGCTGCTGTCTTTTCCCACAGGGAAATAGCTTCCTTTAGACTTGTTCTGGGAGGGAAGAGGTGTCCATGGCAGCTCAGGGGGCCCAACAACTTGAAGCTTTCAAAAAACTCTCAGAACTAGTCTCCCTGAAGTTTTTCCACTCCAAGTTTGTAATCTAATCTTCTCAGAGCTTGATTTAGACTTCTGCATCTCTCTATAAATTAAGAAACAGGCTTGAGTTTACTCCAAGAGTTGTGCTCATCTGGGAGGCAAAGGAAGGAAAGGATTAATGTGTCATTTTTATTTTCCAATTTAAATATGCCTCATACAGAAAAACGAGCATGAATCTCTGCGAGGCATGAAAAAAGCAATAGATCTGTGAAAGTGACACGAGTTGTGTTTGTATAAATTGTTGAGCCTGTAGACCACTTGGTGTAGGCCAGCCAAATAACTCACACAAATCTATGAATTAAAGGACACTTGAATGTAATGAATACAACAGGAAAGGTCATGATAATCTGGATTTGTAGAAAGGGAAATCACTGAGCAATGATTGCAGCCCCATTTAGGAGGGGTTAGCTGGGATTTTGGTTTCACCCACTGTCTCTGTTGTGGAGAMCTTTAGGGACCAGCCAGGGCATCCCTATAAAGGGACTCACTGAACCACAGGAGAAGGCCCATGGGCAATTTCACAAATTCAACCAATTTTAGAACACCTGTTTAACTTACTGCCGTTGGAAAACATAGATTTTCCAAAGGCTTTGATGATGTGGCTGATGAGCAGCTCTTGGGAGCAGCCGAGATGGGGGACAGTCTGTGGCAATTGTTCCAGAAGTTGAACACAAGGAGTGACTCTTGGGGTGTCCTGTGCAGGACCTGGAGTTGGAYTCAATGRTCCTTACGGGTCCCTTCCAACTCATCTTATTCTGTGAACATCCCACGAGCATGAGGGACTTCGCCTTCACTACCGTGATAAATACAGATCTATAACACACAGACCACACTCACGTGTATATGTGCATCTCACATGTATATGTGCATTTACATACACATCCATTTATACATATCACCATCACTCCTTTAGTACCAGAAGGGAGACAGATGTTCTTGCTGAGCTACATACCATCTTGATTGGTATAATTTTAACTGCT